GATGTACAGTAACTTCAGTTTTGTCTGACTACACTTAAAAAAATGATAACAAAGTTAACTACCAGGGTATACACTGTAAAATATGACAACTAGGTTGACTACCAGAATATACACTGCAACAAAGGACAACCTTGGTGACTACCAGTATAAAAACTATCAAAGAAACCTTAAAACCAAAGGGATTAGATTAATAAATGACACCAGGGTAAACCCTGCCCAAAATGACCAGGGAATGCTCTGTAAAAAATGACAACTACAAGGTTCAGGGTACTAAATTTAGTGACAAAAGTGTCCACAAACTTTTAGCAATATACTGTATATTTCAACTGAAAATAAAACACGCACTCACAGACAGCATTACGTTTTATTGAGACAAGAGACGGAACTTAAAACAAAACTTGATAGAAGGTACAAGTCAACGGCATTTCCATAATTTAATGATCGTAGCTACAGTCTTCAAAGGAAAGGAAGTGTAAGAAGTTTACAATGTACATGAAGAATCTCTTCAGTCATTCTGAATAAAAATATGTGTGATCCTGTATAGACCCCACTGATCTGGCCGGCAGGAGCTTTCTCTATCCAGAGGAGACTCCCTCCTACAGAGAACACAGAGACAATGAGGAACCATATGATTTGACTCCAAACCAGACTCCAAACCCAGGATAAAGAGGTTCAGTGAATGTGGTGTTGAAGGTGTAGAGGTGGATCAGTGTGTCAGAGGAGACTCTGAAGAAGGACAGAGTGCCAGCAGGACAGTCCACATACACTGCTATTCTACCAGAGACAGAGGAGGAGGAGGGGATGGATGTCCCTTTGTTATTATGAGAGACATAGTAATCTCCATCATCGGAGCAACCCAGTCTCCAGGAGAGATCATTTTCTCCAAACCTGCATTTAGATCTTTCTCCTCTCCTGCCGATTCGTTTGTAAGTCACTGCTAAAGACACATTTCCCCTCCATTCAACCTCCCAGTAACAGCGACCAGTCAGACCAGTTCTACACAGCAGCTGAGGCCAGTAGTGAAATCTGTCTGGATGATCAGGGTACGGCTGCTCCTCATCCACACATGTCGCCATCTTGTTGTCGTCAGACACTTCAATCTTTCGGTTTACCGTGTTTGTGTCGATTGCGAGTTCACAGGAATCTGATGGAGAGAAGAAGACACAATACAGCTGCAGTTATTCATCTTTCATCACTCTGATGATGACATCAGAGATTTGAATGAGTGATGTCACAGTTTGAAGATCAAATGAAAAACACACTTACACTTCCTCAGACCTGGTTTCAACCATCGGACTCCACCAGGCTCCACCCTGAAAGAAGGAGGGGGGGTCAGAGCAGCACTTCCTCTTTCAGCATGCACACATGGACATTACATCACTCTCACTTAATACGTCACCTACAAAAATGTTATGTTCATCCAAAAAAGGTGAATATTCCCCATGAACTGAGGTATGGACCACATTTAACAACAACAAAACTCTCAACCGACTCCTGCAGTATAACCCAAGACTCATTTATCCAGTCAGATGCTCAGTACTTCACATGACCTTTTGCTAAAACGCTATGATTTAAAACTTGTCACTACAAATAGTGTCATGCCTGGCTGAGTGGCGTGCCTGAGCGTGTGTATGTTTGAACTCTGTTCAAGTCGAGCTCATACTAAAGATAAAAAATAAACAACGACTGGCCAGCTCACTAGTGTGAAAGTCCATGGTACAGGCAGGCAGTCAGAAAACGCATCCAATGCACTCTGACTGCAGTTACAAATCCTTTATTAATACATGGATAAACCAATGCCTTTCGGCTAGAGAGTCTTCATTGGGCTGTAAAATGCATTAGAAACAGGTGTGCAATTTAAGAACTCAGTTAGGGGTCATGCAATGCAGGTCACATGATATATTGTTGTAGCCCTACAAGACAAAAACCACATAGAAAGAAACGGCAAATGAAAATGATGTAAATATATACTACTTTAAGTCATTCACATATTTAGTAACAAGAAAAAGGCTCAATGTCAATTAAAAAGAAATTAAACAACAGTGAAATGAAGTAAAAATCATATATTGTGACAATCCTGGCAGAAAATGAAAACTATAATATATGTGACAAAGACAAGAAACAATAAGTGTGAACAGTCAACAAACTCATCACATGTATATAGTTCAAATATTTAAAAAGAATGTAACTTATGATGACTAACACAGAGATTTTACAGTAGCGATAAAGTTAAGTCTAAATATTCAAAGGCAGGAAAGCTCCAAAGGGCTTACAAAGGATCACCCCCAGTAATGTACATAAATTACATATATTAATGTATTTAAAATAAATACATTAAAACGTGTCATCAGTGATATTGTACACTTGAAAGAGAGTGCATAAAAACACCCAAGGGTTCACCCTCCCTAGAGCTCATACTACTTGTAGGCACAAGTGTTTTATCTTGTTACATTTTAGTTAACGGTTGTGTTTGTGAAGTAATGAGCATCCAACTGGATAAATGAGACTCGGATTAAACACTTGATTGTTAATCTTAATTTAATTAATTTGTTAGTCTTAATTTAAAATTCTGTCGTATTTTGACAGCAATTATTATTATTTTTAATATTTTGGAGATTCCTTCGCATACCACTAGAGGAAGCTCGTGCACTACCAGGAGTACACATACCATAGTTTGAGAACCAGTGGGATACAACATTCAAAGATGGCACCTTGCTCATTGCCATGAAAGTTGCTCCCCAAGCCAAACAAGTCTCCTTGGACTTCCTCGTGCTCCTGGGTTTTTGGGCCCATATATTCATATCCTACATAGAGTCCTTCTTCACTAATCATGCAAATGAGCTATGGCTGATTTGAAAGAAACTGAACTTTGGAGTAATGCTGACAAAAACAGAGTACTTACGAACCAAAATTAGCCACTCTACCTGCATGAAGGAAAACAGCCTGATAGTGTTACCTTAGCAAAAAGAAGTGACTAAATTAAAAAAGACCTCCTGAATTTATGCGGCAGAATGTTGGAGACAATCATCATTCCTGGCTTTGCTGCTATGACGCTTTAAAAGTCAAGAAAAATACTAAGAGAAGCATTAAGTCACATTTGTGGGCACCAAAGCTAATGCATACAGAGCAGCTCTGCCCAGTAAAATTCTCCCTCCCGCCTTCCTTACGGTCGAAACTGCAGCAAAGATAACTGAGATCTATTAATCTCGTATCATGCCTAACTTTAGCGGATCATAACATATCAGGTATGGAATTAATCTGCAGACACTCCGGTTCAAAATGAGACCAAACTTTTCTATGGATGTTTTATTTATGATTTTTACCGATGACAAAGGTCAAAATGTAGCAGACAATTACAGAAATGCCTTTTGCTCTATACTTTTGTAATGTGATTTTGTATATGTATGAAATAGTCAATAAAACTGGATTTCAGCAATCTTGAATCACCACAACCACTAGGGGTGTAAATCACCAGCTTCATCACGATACGATATAATATCGATTTGTTTGGATGACGATACGATGTTTGCAAATATCACAAAGTCTGTCACGATACGATTTCATTTCGATTCGATTTGATTCAGGAGCCTGCGATCGATATGACGCGATATCACATGCCCATCTAACACAATCATTTACATCAACTCACAAAAACTAACTAGAATATGATTTGACCATTTTATTTCTGAGCCCTGTTTGTTGTTTGAGCGGAGGCGCACTTGCCCAGAAATGGTGACACAGACGTACTATGTGAATTTCAAAATAAATGTGTATCTTTAAGATGACGATATGGATAGATGTTTTCATTTTGCATCCATATAATCAGATCGTTAATCAATGAATCTATGTATCGATGTGGATCGATGTACCCCTAACAACCACAAGAGATCCTTGACCATGCATAAATGTGCAAAGAAAATATTAGGCAGACAGATTGATATACACAAAATCAGTTTGACAGTCGCCTTTGTTAACTTAGCGTAACAAGATCAGATGATCAGTGTGGCAGTTAAAAAGGTTTCTGGCTCCTCCTCCTCTATCATACTGAGTGTCTGTGCCTGCAGAAAGTCTCTTCATACCTGAGAATGTTCAGACTCCAGTGTGGATCCTTCAGTCCAGCAGACAGCAGCGTCACTCCTGAGTCTCCTGGATGATTGTAGCTCAGGTCCAGCTCTCTCAGATGGGAGGGGTTGGAGCTCAGAGCTGAGGCCAGAGAAGCACAGCCTTCCTCTGTGATCAGACAGCCTGACAGACTGCAAACACACAAAACAATACACATCACATTATTTGAGGGTCCTGTGAGGGTTAGGGTAGTGATACAGACTCCTAAAAAGCAATATTCAGTAGGGCTGCCCCCTGAATGTCGGAGATTCAAGTCATCAGTTGGAGACCCCTCAGTTGACGGAGATTTGTACAAGGCGAGCAGTTTTTTCAATCAGTTTGCGCTGTATTTCTGGGGACATTTTGGTGCCTAAATAGCTGCAGAGTGAGCACTCGTCGCATTCACGCTGGTACAAGCAGCTGTGAGGCAGAGGCAGCTGTACAGAGGAAGAGAAGTTTCGCCAGGTCAGGCTCCAAATTAACAATATTTTATGCCTTCTCCTTAGAAATGTTGAATTTGCAGCTCACAGCAGCTCAATACCAAACAGTATCTGGCTAGTGTTGACAAAAAATGTTGCGCACTTCTAATCTGTCATTAGTGTAGTTAGCTTACTTAGTATATTACATGAATGTCACTATCACCCTGAACATCCTGCCGAATCGCATTCAAATCCTCAAACTCTAAATGGCATAAAGTAATAAACAATCCAATATTTAAATAGAACAGCCATATCTGATTTGACTGTGACTCACTTGCAGCCCTAATATTCAGTGAGAGCACAATGTTAAAAAAATTCAACTCTTAAAATCCTAACAAAACTACTGATGAGAGAGGCTGTTTGAAACATAGCTATAGGAATATCTCAAGTAATCCAGGTCAACCCATAACTTGATTGTACCTGAGAGTTTCCAGAGTACAATGTGTACTCTCCAGTCCCGCACAAATCAGCTTCACTCCCAAGTCTTGCAGGTTGTTGTTACTCAGGTCCAGGTGTCTCAGACTGGAGGACTGGGAGCTGAGAACTGAGGACAGAGCTTCACAGCTTCTCTCTGAAAGGTTACAGTCACTCAGTCTAAGGAGAAATTAATCAAAAACAATATCAAACTTATCATAATTACTGAACTAGGAATATACGTGCATGACATAATTAAAATTACATGATATCAATATGTGGATGAGCTTTCTCAGATCAGCTAGATATCCTCTCGGTTTGCTGTGTGAAGATGAATCAGAGCAAAAAAAAATGAAAGCCCCTCTATCAAGTCAAATTTACAATCCCGATATACATAATAATGGCACTGAATGCAGGTATGACAGAATGGTGATCTACAAAAAGTATCTTTGCAAATTGGGAAACCCCAGCACCAGAGGGAGTTCTGGTGACAATGACATGCTCTTAGTGCCCAGCTCAGTACGATCCTTCTTAATGCTACCAGGACCAGGTGTAGCAGGAATGCTAAGAGGCGATTTTCTGTAAGAATGTACTGACGGATATAATGTTATTCAAATAATGCAATACTTGAAAAGAGAATGGTCACTCTTTGCTGAACATAGAAGACACATAATCAGGGTTGTTTTTGTGAGAAACAGAATGAAAACCTTGATACTGGAAGTTGCCGTGTTGCCAGAGAGTAGGTGAAAATTTCAGCAGACAGGTGTTCCTCTTAGCTACAGCGCAATGATACACAATGTCTCAACATCATAAGATGAGAATGATCTGTGGTTGAATTGTTGAATTACTGACCAATCAGAAACATCACATCTCATTAAGAGGAGCTCAGTATGAAAGTTTCAAATTTGATGCCAGGAGACATGTGGTTCAGGGACCTCAATGCAAAAGTTTTTGTAAATCTTGACTTATCTCAGTTGAGGATGACATTTAGGATTTTTGGCATTACAGGAACATGTTTCCTGACTGCATTTAGAAAACCAGAATTGCCGCCTTGCGGCTGTATGCCTCTGCGAACCAGTGAAGTTGCAGTTACAGTTTACATCTATGTCAATCAAGAGTCATAGGTCACCATGACAGCTGACAATGCTTAAAATGTTGCTTCAAATAAGGTGCATATTCTGAAACGTGGATGCTTCACACACATATTCAACCTGGCACCACAGAAGAGCTTACACAAACTATAGTTTTAAGGTGGGCACCTCAGATTAGTGTCACCAACCTAGTATCTGTCCAAATCTCACCCACTGTTCCTGAGTTATGAAACTGAATAATGGCCAGAAAAGTGTTTCTGCAGAACATTATGATGTCAAAGTGAAGTTGACCTTTGACATTTTGGATATAAAATGCCATCACTTTATCACCATATTCATCACTAATAAGGGCTGTTTTAAGCTGTCTGGATACACCAATGCATCATCAGCAAATACAGCAAATTTCTGTTAATCTGGTGCCAATTTTATTCCCCTTATCGCATTATCTTGCCTTATTCCTTGATCCTGCAGCTCAATAAAAGTTGCTAACAAAATGCAACTTAAGGGGCAACCATGTCTGGTTGATCACTCTAGTATAAGCGTCTGAGAGTTTCACGCTGATCTGTAAATGAGCTGACAGTCAATTATATGATATTGCTATGACTTGGAGTATTGTTTTATTGAAGCCTTGATTTTCCATAAATCTAAATAGAAGGCTCCACCTCACAGAATCAAAAGCTTTTTTGCATCTAGACTTATTGTCTGAGCATGAGTTTATTTCTATTATATATCTAGTTGAAAAATGAGATAGCGCTTCAACAATGAGATTCTCAGCAGAGTACTAAACTGAAAATCCAATCAGCATATACCAAAACAATGTAAAAAGGTAGCACATCTCAAATTTCTAAGTTGAGAAGGATCTATGTTTCACTTGTGTATTTGGCTCACATCAAATAGCAGGGGTAGCAAATTCAAAAACAGATGGCTGAGAACCCACAGACAAACAGCGGAAAGGCAAAGAAAAGCTGTAGGCAGATAGACGGGCAGGTACAGATCCAGGTTACAGGATAAAAACTAATAGAGGATTGAATGCAAAATATGAGCACCAAGGTAACACTGACAAACTAGCAAACCGGCTGGGTGGAAATGGGCTTGTATATATATGCAGGGCTGATAAGGAAAGTGGGAACAGCTGAGCACGTCTGCAGGGAAAGTCAGGTGTCAAGGTTTTAATGGTTTGATTTTATGCAAACCGGCTGATTCAGATTTGTCACAGTGGCATGGCAGATGTGCTGAGCAGAAGACCAGGTGGTCCTACTATTTCAACACTTGTGATGCAGGAGGAGCAATACAGATTCCATCCTGATATCTGAACAGTGGACCACTTGTTTATCCTTATAGGAGGGGTCACAAGAATATGGAATTTGTAAGCGGGACCAGGACAGTTATAATGAGCTATTCTCTTCTTGTTAAGGTGGATTGAGAGCCCAGTTTGCATTCTCATTAAAAATACAAGCGTGTCTTTAGTGAGCATTGGGCCCTGCCATGTTTGTGCTTTATCAAGTTTTGTGATTTTTATGGACATTATCTCCAGGCTCAACCAAGGTGTGGAGAGCATCCAACAATGTAAAGGCCTCAAGGTTGCATCTCTGATTTTTGAGGATGACATGGCTCTGTTGCATTCGTGGTAAATGGACTACATTTCACGCACTTGTACACTGGGATGGTTTGAGGCCATGGTACTCTATTGGAAAACAGTGGATTGGTCCATTTGGACTGGGAGTGTGTCACTACTCCTAATTAATGAGCTCAAGATCATGTTCACGCGTGAGAATCAGCATTAGATCAGCGATCATATTGGTGACCCGTCTACAGTGGACACTGTGGATACTGTATCAGACTGTCATGGTGAAGGAAGCTGAACCTGAAGGCCCATCTCTGTGTTCCAACTTTACCTATAGTCCTGAGCTTTATAACCACAAGAGCGATATCATATACCAGCAGCCAAATTAATTTCACTTTAGGGTGTCGGGGCTGACCTTTTGAGATTGGTCAAGGATAAAGGAGAATACAGAGAATGTTCTGAGTAAAACAGGTGCTCCTTCAGGTTAAAAGGAGTCAGCTAAAATGGTTTGGGCATCACATTTGGATGCCTCCTTAATGTCTCCCTATTGAGGCATTCCAAGTATGTCAAACAAAGAGGAGCCCTAGGAAAGACCCTGAAGACCCTTGAGGAATAATTTATCACATCTTGTAATTAGGGTTGGGTCGGTATGAGAAAAAAAAACGGTCCGGTTGTTGTAAAAAACCGCATCAAGTCGGTAATACCGGATTTTTGCCACTTGGGGGTGCAATTGACTCATTTAAAATAAAAAACGACCTTATGACAACAGATTGACAGTAACAAGTTGTTTCTTTTATTCCTTACAAATAAATTTTGCAGCTTACTCAATCAGTGCAAACAAGGGTTGCCTCCTTCGTCTGGCTTAAGTGTTGCCATAGTGGCGCATTCCTTGATTTCGTCGAGACTAAATTGTCCGCCATTATCAACTCCCCGTCACTATTAAACAAACTCCAGGCTACAGTAGAGGCGCATGCGCACTCGCACCTCCTAGCTCAGTCCCCGCCCCACTCCCCTCTCTATCCTGCTTGCTGTGCGCTTGGTGAAGAGGCAGACACAGGTGCTCACAGACTCAGGCTTACTATAAGCAGAGCGGACTACGTGTAAAAATGTCCATGAAAAATCCCCGCGATGTGAAAACTACATGCCGAACAGTCTTTTGTGTGACACTGGTGCGTGGAGCTAAGTCCGCGCACCAGTGTCACCATGGCGTCCGCTCTGTGTACGTTCTGCCTGAGTGCGCAGTCCAGTTGGTCTCAAAAAATAAAACCCAGTCCAAGACGGAGTACCGGACTGAATTGGTATCACCGAGAACCGACCCAACCCTACTTGTAATGCATCAAAACCCCCCTGGAGTAGCCAGAGAGCATGGCTAGGGAGTAGGAGGCATAGTATACCTTGCCTGCTGCCACTGTGACCAAGACTAGGATGCATGCATTCAAATCCTGACCTGAGGTTGTTGAAAGTGCATTGAGCTGGTTAAGAAATATTACAAATCAGTTACAACCAACAATGTCTTCATCTGACCTGAGATTTTCCAGAGCACAATGTGGACTCTCCAGTCCAGCACAAAGCAGCTTCACTCCTGAATCCTGCAGGTTGTTGTTACTCAGGTCCAGGTGTCTCAGACTGGAGGACTGGGAGCTGAGAACTGAGGACAGAGCTTCACAGCTTCTCTCTGAGAGGTTACAGCCACTCAGTCTGGAGAGGAAATGTTAAGTCATAAAATGTCGTAATTATTCTTTCCTGCTGAACATGTCTTTGTGCATTTAAAATATTTTCACTTTGGACAAATATCGATGTGCATACAAAGCTTTGTTGGAGGCTTTGACCACTGGCAGCAGCCTCAGAAGAGCCTCCTCTGAAGCAGAGTATTTCTTCAAGTCAAACACATTCAGATCTTTTTCTGATGACAGTAAGATGAAGACCAGAGCTGACCACTGAGCAGGAGACAGTTTCTCTTTGGACAGACTTCCTGAACTCAGGTACTGTTGGATCTCCTCCACTAGAGAACGATCATTCAGTTCATTCAGACAGTGGAACAGGTTGATGCTTTTCTCTGCAGAGGGAGTCTCTTCGATCTTCTTCTTAATGTACTGGGCTGTTTCCTGATTGGTCTGTGAGCCACTTCCTGTCTGTGTCAGCAGGCCTTGTAGAAGGGTCTGATTGCTCTGCAGTGAAAAACCCAGGAGGAAGCGGAGGAACAAGTCCAGGTGTCCATTTGGACTCTGTAAGGCCTTGTCCACAGCACTCTGGTGGAGATGTGTCTCTTCAGATTCATAGCAGGTTGTTTGTTGTTCTGCCATCAGATTGACTCCAGAGTTGATGAAGGTCAGATGGACATGAAGAGCAGCCAGAAACTCCTGAACACTCAGATGGACGAAGCAGAACACCTTGTCCTGGTACAGTCCTCTCTCCTCTTTAAAGATCTGTGTGAACACTCCTGAGTACACTGAGGCTGCTCTGATATCGATGCCACACTCTGTCAGGTCTGATTCATAGAAGATCAGGTTGCCTTTCTGCAGCTGATCAAAAGCCAGTTTTCCCAGAGACTCAATCATCTTCCTGTTCTCTGGACTCCAGTGATGATCTGTCTCAGCTCCTCCATCATACTTGATGTTCTTCACTTTGGTCTGAACCACCAGGAAGTGGATGTACATCTCAGTCAGGGTCTTGGGCAGCTCTCCTCTCTTTCTGGTTTTCAACACATCCTCCAGAACTGTAGCAGTGATCCAGCAGAAGACTGGGATGTGGCACATGATGTGCAGGCTTTGTGATTTCTTGATGTGGACAATGATTCTTTTGGCCTGCTCCTTATTTCTGAATCTCTTCCTGAAGTACTCCTCCTTCTGTGGGTCAGTGAACCCTCTGATCTCTGTCACCATGTCAACACAGTCAGCAGGGATCTGATTGGCTGCTGCAGGTCGTGTGGTTATCCAGAGGCGAGCAGAGGGAAGCAGTTTCCCCCTGATGAGGTTTGTCAGCAGCACATCCACTGAGGTGGACTCTGTAACATCAGTCAGGATCTCATTGTTGTGGAAGTCCAGAGGAAGTCGACACTCATCCAGACCGTCAAAGATGAACACAACCTGGAACTCTTCAAACCTGCAGATTCCTGCTTCTTTGGTTTCAGTAAAGAAGTGATGAACAAGTTCCACCAAGCTGTACTTTTTCTCTTTCAGCACATTCAGCTCTCTGAAAGTGAATGGAAATGTGAACTGTATGTTCTGGTTGGCTTTGTCTTCAGCCCAGTCCAGAGTGAACTTCTGTGTTAAGACTGTTTTCCCAATGCCAGCCACTCCCTTTGTCATCACTGTTCTGATTGGTTCATCTCTTCCAGGTGAGCCTTTAAAGATGTCTTCTTGTCTGATGGTTGTTTCTAGTATGTCTGATTTCCTGGATGCTGTTTCAATCTGTCTGACCTCATGTTCATCATTGACCTCTGCAGTCCCTCCCTCTGTGATGTAGAGCTCTGTGTAGATCTGATTCAGAAGGGTTGGGTTTCCTGCTTTAGCGATCCCCTCAAACACACACTGGGACTTCTTCTGCAGGTTAGACTTGAGTTGATATTGACAAACAGCAACAGGAGGTCCTACATGATAACTAAGAAGTTCTGGAAGTGATTTATAAAGAAAACAATTAGTTAAATGTCCACAATAATGCATACATAAACACATCCAATTAATCCACCATGTTAAATCTTTAGCAAATTCATCGTACTGCTCTGCAGACAGTCAGCCAGCTCCTCCTGCTTCATTCTCCTCAGGAAGTGCAGTGTGATCTTCAGAAATGCCTCTCTGTTGCTCCTCCTCTGCTCTTCATCCTCACCCTCCAACACCTCCTCATCCCCCCTCTGACTCTCTAAGCATTCTGGGTAATCTGGACTCAGAACCTTCTGGATCTTCTTCAGCTCGTTCTTCACAAAAGTGAGGATGTTCTCCTCCAGCAGCTGGAACAGAATATTATATGAATGACACAATCAAACATCAGATCCATGTTGGACACACTGACAATCCACTGGTGTAAAAAGTGCAGCATGGAGATGATTGTGAACAGAATAGATGTCAAAGTAGTTGTTGTACATGTACAGACCATAAATATGGAGTCCAGGTGTGTTTGATGCTGCTGGGCAGACTGACCACTGGGAACCTCTGAGCTCTCCTGGTCCACTCTGTGGAGGAATCATCAACAATCAGCTCACATTATGTCTGTCCACACAGAGACACTGTCCACACAGAGACACTGTCCACACAGAGACACACACTGTCCACACAGAGACAGACACTGTCCACACAGAGACAAACACTGTCCACACAGAGACAGACACTGTCCACACAGAGACAAACACTGTCCACACAGAGACAGACACTGTCCACACAGAGACAGACACTGTCCACACAGAGACAGACACTGTCCACACAGAGACAGACACTGTCCACACAGAGACAGACACTGTCCACACAGAGACAGACACTGTCCACACAGAGACAGACACTGTCCACACAGAGACAGACACTGTCCACACAGAGACAGACACTGTCCACACAGAGACAGACACTGTCCACACAGAGACAGACACTGTCCACACAGAGACAGACACTGTCCACACAGAGACAGACACTGTCCACACAGAGACAGACACTGTCCACACAGAGACAGACACTGTCCACACAGAGACAGACACTGTCCACACAGAGACAGACACTGTCCACACAGAGACAGACACTGTCCACACAGAGACAGACACTGTCCACACAGAGACAGACACTGTCCACACAGAGACAGACACTGTCCACACAGAGACAGACACTGTCCACACAGAGACAGACACTGTCCACACAGAGACAGACACTGTCCACACAGAGACAGACACTGTCCACACAGAGACAGACACTGTCCACACAGAGACAGACACTGTCCACACAGAGACAGACACTGTCCACACAGAGACAAACACTGTCCACACAGAGACAGACACTGTCCACACAGAGACAGACACTGTCCACACAGAGACAAACACTGTCCACACAGAGACAGACACTGTCCACACAGAGACAGACACTGTCCACACAGAGACAAACACTGTCCACACAGAGACAGACACTGTCCACACAGAGACAGACACTGTCCACACAGAGACAAACACTGTCCACACAGAGACAGACACTGTCCACACAGAGACAGACACTGTCCACACAGAGACAAACACTGTCCACACAGAGACAGACACTGTCCACACAGAGACAGACACTGTCCACACAGAGACAAACACTGTCCACACAGAGACAGACACTGTCCACACAGAGACAGACACTGTCCACACAGAGACAAACACTGTCCACACAGAGACAGACACTGTCCACACAGAGACAGACACTGTCCACACAGAGACAAACACTGTCCACACAGAGACAGACACTGTCCACACAGAGACAGACACTGTCCACACAGAGACAAACACTGTCCACACAGAGACAGACACTGTCCACACAGAGACAGACACTGTCCACACAGAGACAAACACTGTCCACACAGAGACAGACACTGTCCACACAGAGACAGACACTGTCCACACAGAGACAAACACTGTCCACACAGAGACAGACACTGTCCACACAGAGACAGACACTGTCCACACAGAGACAAACACTGTCCACACAGAGACAGACACTGTCCACACAGAGACAGACACTGTCCACACAGAGACAGACACTGTCCACACAGAGACAGACACTGTCCACACAGAGACAGACACTGTCCACACAGAGACAGACACTGTCCACACAGAGACAGACACTGTCCACACAGAGACAGACACTGTCCACACAGAGACAGACACTGTCCACACAGAGACAGACACTGTCCACACAGAGACAGACACTGTCCACACAGAGACAGACACTGTCCACACAGAGACAGACACTGTCCACACAGAGACAGACACTGTCCACACAGAGACAAACACTGTCCACACAGAGACAGACACTGTCCACACAGAGACAGACACTGTCCACACAGAGACAAACACTGTCCACACAGAGACAGACACTGTCCACACAGAGACAAACACTGTCCACACAGAGACAGACACTGTCCACACAGAGACAGACACTGTCCACACAGAGACAAACACTGTCCACACAGAGACAGACACTGTCCACACAGAGACAGACACTGTCCACACAGAGACAAACACTGTCCACACAGAGACAGACACTGTCCACACAGAGACAGACACTGTCCACACAGAGACAAACACTGTCCACACAGAGACAGACACTGTCCACACAGAGACAGACACTGTCCACACAGAGACAAACACTGTCCACACAGAGACAGACACTGTCCACACAGAGACAGACACTGTCCACACAGAGACAGACACAAGGTCAATCATCATTCAGCTCATGTTTTATAAGAACACTGAATCAGATCATTCCCTCTGATAACCAAGTGTTGTTAGTACAGCTGATCCCACTGAGAATCCACCGTCTGGTCTGCGGCTCTCTGCAGCTTTTAGGTCATCGACTCCAGTTCAAACTCCTTCTCATCACATTGAAAATTCTCAGTGTCAGCACAGCAGAGATTGGGGAGTGATGATCCACTCCCTCCTCAGGGATCTTTGACTCTGAGTCTACAGTTACTGCTCAGTACTGCCAGGTAACAAACAGCCAACTTACTGCTTCTACAAAACAACCTCACACTCTGAGACAAAAGCTCTCACCTTCTCAGGTTTGTGACACAATAGTAGTTAAAACATCAATGTTACATTCAGCTTACTGTTGTCCAGCTTTAAATGTAATAGGCTGATACATTGACCGGTCACTTTTGAAGGACACACAGCTGGGTGCAGGTGAGTCTGGTCTCTGATGGATCCTGAAGGACAAACAAACAAAGAGGATTTTTTTTAACTTCCAGCCACAGTAGCTTCTGGAGAAACTACCAGCTATCAACAAGAAAAGTTCAGTCAAGTTCAGGTGGAACGGATCATAATGTGAATTCAGAATGAGTACAGAGTTGATATGTAGATATCGTAGGCTCTGACACCGTCACTCCCTAAAAGGACACATCAGGATCAACACAGCAGAGACTGTGGAGTGACAATACAAGTCTACAGGCAGCCTCCAGGTGGAGCTGCAACACACTGAATGAACAAATCTATTGTTAAAAAACTTTCTCCAGTTTGGTGCTGTCAGATACAGAACTCTATGGAGCAATAAATTAGATTGTTTCCCCTGAAGTTAAAGTGTTCAATCAATCAATCAATCAATCAATTTTATTTATAATGCCCAATATCACAAATCACAATTTGCCTCACAGGGCTTTACAGCCCTCTGTCCTTAGGACCCTCGCAGCGGATAAGGAAAAACTCCCCGGCAGACTAGGCCTAAGTCAGCCTAACTAGGGGCTGGTACAGGGCAAGCCTGAGCCAGCCCTAACTATAAGCTTTATCAAAGAGGAAAGTCTTAAGTCTAGTCTTAAATGTGGAGACGGTGTCTGCCTCCTGAACCGTAACAGGAAGATGATTCCACAGGAGAGGAGCCTGACAGCTGAAGGCTCTGGCTCCTGATCTACTTTTGGAGACTTTAGGAACCACGAGTAACCCTGCGTTCTCAGAGCGCAGTGTTCTGGTGGGATAATATGGCACTATGAGCTCTCTAAGATATGACGGAGCTTGACCATTTAGAGCTTTATAAGTTAACAGTAGGATTTTAAATTCAATTCTGGATTTTACAGGGAGCCAGTGCAGAGAAGCTAAAACAGGAGAAATATGATCT